TGAAAGGAACAGTCCTGAAAGGAACAGTCCTGAAGGGAACAGTCCTGAAGGGAACAGTCCTGAAGGGAACAGTCCTGAAGGGAACAGTCCTGAAGGGAACAGTCCTGAAGGGAACAGTCCTGAAGGGAACAGTCCTGAAGGGAACAGTCCTGAAGGGAACAGTCCTGAAGGGAACAGTCCTGAAGGGAACAGTCCTGAAAGGAACAGTCCTGAAGGGAACAGTCCTGAAAGGAACAGTCCTGAAAGGAACAGTCCTGAAAGGAACAGTCCTGAAAGGAACAGTCCTGAAAGGAACAGTCCTGAAAGGAACAGTCCTGAAAGGAACAGTCCTGAAGGGAACAGTCCTGAAGGGAACAGTCCTGAAGGGAACAGTCCTGAAGGGAACAGTCCTGAAGGGAACAGTCCTGAAGGGAACAGTCCTGAAGGGAACAGTCCTGAAGGGAACAGTCCTGAAGGGAACAGTCCTGAAAGGAACAGTCCTGAAAGGAACAGTCCTGAAAGGAACAGTCCTGAAAGGAACAGTCCTGAAAGGAACAGTCCTGAAAGGAACAGTCCTGAAAGGAACAGTCCTGAAGGGAACAGTCCTGAAGGGAACAGTCCTGAAGGGAACAGTCCTGAAGGGAACAGTCCTGAAAGGAACAGTCCTGAAAGGAACAGTCCTGAAAGGAACAGTCCTGAAAGGAACAGTCCTGAAAGGAACAGTCCTGAAAGGAACAGTCCTGAAAGGAACAGTCCTGAAGGGAACAGTCCTGAAGGGAACAGTCCTGAAGGGAACAGTCCTGAAGGGAACAGTCCTGAAGGGAACAGTCCTGAAGGGAACAGTCCTGAAGGGAACAGTCCTGAAGGGAACAGTCCTGAAGGGAACAGTCCTGAAGGGAACAGTCCTGAAGGGAACAGTCCTGAAAGGAACAGTCCTGAAAGGAACAGTCCTGAAAGGAACAGTCCTGAAAGGAACAGTCCTGAAAGGAACAGTCCTGAAAGGAACAGTCCTGAAAGGAACAGTCCTGAAGGGAACAGTCCTGAAGGGAACAGTCCTGAAGGGAACAGTCCTGAAGGGAACAGTCCTGAAGGGAACAGTCCTGAAGGGAACAGTCCTGAAGGGAACAGTCCTGAAGGGAACAGTCCTGAAAGGAACAGTCCTGAAAGGAACAGTCCTGAAAGGAACAGTCCTGAAAGGAACAGTCCTGAAAGGAACAGTCCTGAAAGGAACAGTCCTGAAGGGAACAGTCCTGAAGGGAACAGTCCTGAAGGGAACAGTCCTGAAGGGAACAGTCCTGAAGGGAACAGTCCTGAAGGGAACAGTCCTGAAGGGAACAGTCCTGAAGGGAACAGTCCTGAAGGGAACAGTCCTGAAAGGAACAGTCCTGAAAGGAACAGTCCTGAAAGGAACAGTCCTGAAAGGAACAGTCCTGAAAGGAACAGTCCTGAAGGGAACAGTCCTGAAGGGAACAGTCCTGAAGGGAACAGTCCTGAAGGGAACAGTCCTGAAGGGAACAGTCCTGAAGGGAACAGTCCTGAAGGGAACAGTCCTGAAGGGAACAGTCCTGAAAGGAACAGTCCTGAAAGGAACAGTCCTGAAAGGAACAGTCCTGAAAGGAACAGTCCTGAAAGGAACAGTCCTGAAAGGAACAGTCCTGAAAGGAACAGTCCTGAAGGGAACAGTCCTGAAGGGAACAGTCCTGAAGGGAACAGTCCTGAAGGGAACAGTCCTGAAAGGAACAGTCCTGAAAGGAACAGTCCTGAAAGGAACAGTCCTGAAAGGAACAGTCCTGAAAGGAACAGTCCTGAAGGGAACAGTCCTGAAGGGAACAGTCCTGAAGGGAACAGTCCTGAAGGGAACAGTCCTGAAGGGAACAGTCCTGAAGGGAACAGTCCTGAAGGGAACAGTCCTGAAGGGAACAGTCCTGAAAGGAACAGTCCTGAAGGGAACAGTCCTGAAAGGAACAGTCCTGAAAGGAACAGTCCTGAAGGGAACAGTCCTGAAGGGAACAGTCCTGAAGGGAACAGTCCTGAAGGGAACAGTCCTGAAGGGAACAGTCCTGAAGGGAACAGTCCTGAAGGGAACAGTCCTGAAGGGAACAGTCCTGAAGGGAACAGTCCTGAAGGGAACAGTCCTGAAGGGAACAGTCCTGAAAGGAACAGTCCTGAAGGGAACAGTCCTGAAAGGAACAGTCCTGAAAGGAACAGTCCTGAAAGGAACAGTCCTGAAAGGAACAGTCCTGAAAGGAACAGTCCTGAAAGGAACAGTCCTGAAAGGAACAGTCCTGAAGGGAACAGTCCTGAAGGGAACAGTCCTGAAGGGAACAGTCCTGAAGGGAACAGTCCTGAAGGGAACAGTCCTGAAGGGAACAGTCCTGAAGGGAACAGTCCTGAAGGGAACAGTCCTGAAGGGAACAGTCCTGAAAGGAACAGTCCTGAAAGGAACAGTCCTGAAAGGAACAGTCCTGAAAGGAACAGTCCTGAAAGGAACAGTCCTGAAAGGAACAGTCCTGAAGGGAACAGTCCTGAAGGGAACAGTCCTGAAGGGAACAGTCCTGAAAGGAACAGTCCTGAAAGGAACAGTCCTGAAAGGAACAGTCCTGAAAGGAACAGTCCTGAAAGGAACAGTCCTGAAAGGAACAGTCCTGAAAGGAACAGTCCTGAAAGGAACAGTCCTGAAAGGAACAGTCCTGAAAGGAACAGTCCTGAAGGGAACAGTCCTGAAGGGAACAGTCCTGAAGGGAACAGTCCTGAAGGGAACAGTCCTGAAGGGAACAGTCCTGAAGGGAACAGTCCTGAAGGGAACAGTCCTGAAGGGAACAGTCCTGAAGGGAACAGTCCTGAAGGGAACAGTCCTGAAGGGAACAGTCCTGAAGGGAACAGTCCTGAAAGGAACAGTCCTGAAGGGAACAGTCCTGAAGGGAACAGTCCTGAAAGGAACAGTCCTGAAAGGAACAGTCCTGAAAGGAACAGTCCTGAAAGGAACAGTCCTGAAAGGAACAGTCCTGAAAGGAACAGTCCTGAAAGGAACAGTCCTGAAAGGAACAGTCCTGAAGGGAACAGTCCTGAAGGGAACAGTCCTGAAGGGAACAGTCCTGAAGGGAACAGTCCTGAAGGGAACAGTCCTGAAAGGAACAGTCCTGAAGGGAACAGTCCTGAAGGGAACAGTCCTGAAAGGAACAGTCCTGAAAGGAACAGTCCTGAAAGGAACAGTCCTGAAAGGAACAGTCCTGAAAGGAACAGTCCTGAAGGGAACAGTCCTGAAGGGAACAGTCCTGAAGGGAACAGTCCTGAAGGGAACAGTCCTGAAGGGAACAGTCCTGAAGGGAACAGTCCTGAAGGGAACAGTCCTGAAGGGAACAGTCCTGAAAGGAACAGTCCTGAAAGGAACAGTCCTGAAAGGAACAGTCCTGAAAGGAACAGTCCTGAAAGGAACAGTCCTGAAGGGAACAGTCCTGAAGGGAACAGTCCTGAAGGGAACAGTCCTGAAAGGAACAGTCCTGAAAGGAACAGTCCTGAAAGGAACAGTCCTGAAAGGAACAGTCCTGAAAGGAACAGTCCTGAAAGGAACAGTCCTGAAAGGAACAGTCCTGAAAGGAACAGTCCTGAAGGGAACAGTCCTGAAGGGAACAGTCCTGAAGGGAACAGTCCTGAAGGGAACAGTCCTGAAGGGAACAGTCCTGAAGGGAACAGTCCTGAAGGGAACAGTCCTGAAGGGAACAGTCCTGAAGGGAACAGTCCTGAAGGGAACAGTCCTGAAGGGAACAGTCCTGAAGGGAACAGTCCTGAAAGGAACAGTCCTGAAGGGAACAGTCCTGAAGGGAACAGTCCTGAAAGGAACAGTCCTGAAAGGAACAGTCCTGAAAGGAACAGTCCTGAAAGGAACAGTCCTGAAAGGAACAGTCCTGAAAGGAACAGTCCTGAAAGGAACAGTCCTGAAAGGAACAGTCCTGAAGGGAACAGTCCTGAAGGGAACAGTCCTGAAGGGAACAGTCCTGAAGGGAACAGTCCTGAAGGGAACAGTCCTGAAAGGAACAGTCCTGAAGGGAACAGTCCTGAAGGGAACAGTCCTGAAAGGAACAGTCCTGAAAGGAACAGTCCTGAAAGGAACAGTCCTGAAAGGAACAGTCCTGAAAGGAACAGTCCTGAAGGGAACAGTCCTGAAGGGAACAGTCCTGAAGGGAACAGTCCTGAAGGGAACAGTCCTGAAGGGAACAGTCCTGAAGGGAACAGTCCTGAAGGGAACAGTCCTGAAGGGAACAGTCCTGAAAGGAACAGTCCTGAAGGGAACAGTCCTGAAGGGAACAGTCCTGAAAGGAACAGTCCTGAAAGGAACAGTCCTGAAAGGAACAGTCCTGAAAGGAACAGTCCTGAAAGGAACAGTCCTGAAAGGAACAGTCCTGAAAGGAACAGTCCTGAAAGGAACAGTCCTGAAGGGAACAGTCCTGAAGGGAACAGTCCTGAAGGGAACAGTCCTGAAGGGAACAGTCCTGAAGGGAACAGTCCTGAAGGGAACAGTCCTGAAGGGAACAGTCCTGAAAGGAACAGTCCTGAAAGGAACAGTCCTGAAGGGAACAGTCCTGAAGGGAACAGTCCTGAAAGGAACAGTCCTGAAAGGAACAGTCCTGAAAGGAACAGTCCTGAAAGGAACAGTCCTGAAAGGAACAGTCCTGAAAGGAACAGTCCTGAAAGGAACAGTCCTGAAGGGAACAGTCCTGAAGGGAACAGTCCTGAAGGGAACAGTCCTGAAGGGAACAGTCCTGAAGGGAACAGTCCTGAAGGGAACAGTCCTGAAGGGAACAGTCCTGAAGGGAACAGTCCTGAAAGGAACAGTCCTGAAAGGAACAGTCCTGAAGGGAACAGTCCTGAAAGGAACAGTCCTGAAAGGAACAGTCCTGAAAGGAACAGTCCTGAAAGGAACAGTCCTGAAAGGAACAGTCCTGACCAACTGGAAGGAGAGAGAGTTGCATAACAGGAAGGCGAGGGCGATGGGTAACTGGAAGGTCAGGAAGTTGACTCACAGGTGCATAACGGAAAGGTGAGTCCCTTGAGAAGTCACGGAGCTGTCCACTAGCGCTCCATGCAGTTGAAGAGCCATCCACAGATGCTGTCCCGTACTCCCTCCCTCCCCTCCCGCACTAGCGCTCGCTCTGCACTCGCCTCTGCTGGAGCAACTGGTGTTGCCAGTGTGCCACTCTGCTTCCTCTGTTGCATCATGAGTGGTCTAAGGGGAACGGGGCAGGGCAGAGGGAATGGGGCATAGTGGAGGGGAACGGGGGCAGGGCGGAGGGAATGGGGGCAGGGCGGAGGGAATGGGGCGGGGCGGAGGGAAGGGGTAAGAGTGGAGGGAATGAGGCACAGCGGAAGGAATGGGGCAGGGCAAAAGGGAATGGGCCAAGGCGGAGGGAATGGGGCAGAGCGGAGGGAAGGGCAGAAGGCGCGAAATATGTAAGAACATTAGCAAGAAAGACTTCACAAAATATGGAGAAAACTGAGGAGCGGGGGGGGAGGGAGGGATGGGGGAAAAGGGGGCATACAGCAAAAACTGGAACTAGAGAAAGAAGGATGGGAAGTGGGAGGGGGATGGAGGAATGGGGGGGAAGGAGGCATACAGCAAAAACTGGAACTAGAGAAAGAAGGATGGGAAGTGGGAGGGGGATGGAGGAATGGGGGGGAAGGAGGCATACAGCAAAAACTGGAACTAGAGAAAGAAGGATGGGAAGTGGGAGAGGGATGGAGGAATGGGGGGGAAGGAGGCATACAGCAAAAACTGGAACTAGAGAAAGAAGGATGGGAAGTGGGAGGGGGATGGAGGAATGGGGGGGAAGGAGGAATACAGCAAAAACTGGAACTAGAGAAAGAAGGATGGGAAGTGGGAGGGGGATGGAGGAATGGGGGGGAAGGAGGCATACAGCAAAAACTGGAACTAGAGAGAAGGACGGGAAGAGGGAGGGCTTGAGCAAAATTGTAAGAATGAGAGAATTGGCAGAAAGGCATGGGAGGGGTGGAGAGAGGTGTTTGCGACCTACTCAGGGGTGTAGAACTGTAAAAGGTGGCATACCTTGATAGGTCCTGCCAGCCCCATACTCTCCCTGATAAAAGCGCTGCCTCCCTGCTGTGGAAGGTCCCTCTGCTGTGGAAGGTCCCTCTGCTGTGCCAGAAGCTCTCAAGAAGGCGGGAAAAGCAAGCTCCCTTTGTTGCTGCTGCACGTAACTCGCAATTCGCCGCCTGTCGTGCGTCGCGCCTCGTTGCTCGCTGCTCGCTCGTCCGCCGTGCGTTGTTGCTCGCTGCTCGCTCGTCCGCCGTGCGTTGTTGCTCGCTGCTCGCTCGTTCGCCATGCGTTGTTGCTCGCTGCTCGCTCATCCGCCGTGCGTTGTTGGTCGTGAGACGCTCGCCCGCCGTTTGTTGGTGCGTTGTTGGTCGTGGGTCGCTCGGTCGGTATGGACGAGGCCCGTCCCTCGCCATCGGTCACTCGTTGCTCGCTCCTCGGACAGGCGGGAAAGGAGGCTACAACAATCGGGGTAGGGCGGACGGAATGGGGCAGAGCGGAGGGAATGGGGTAGGGAGGAGGGAATGGGGCGGGGCGGAGGGAAGGGGGCAGATTGGAGGGAATGAGGCACAGCAGAGGGAATGGGACAGGGCAAAAGGGAATGGGGCAGGGCAAAGCGAATGGGGCAGAGCAGAGAGACGGGGCAGAGCGGAGGGAATGGGGCAGGGCGGAGGGAATGGGGCAGAGCGGAGAGAAGGGCAGAAGGCGAGTGAATGCAGGCCAAGAAACAGGCACGAGATATGTGAGAGCATTAACAAGAAAGACTTGACATGATGGAAGAAACCGGGGGGGGGGGGGGATGGAGGGAGCACGGGGAAGAATGCATACAATAAAAACTAGGAGGACGGGAAGTGGGTGTAATGAGCAGAATTGGAAGCAAACGAACACATGGCAGCACGGCGTGGGAGGGGTGAAGAGCGGTGTTTGCGACCTACTCAGGGGTGTAGAACTGGAAAAAGTGGCATATCTTGATAGGTCACGGCCAGCCCCATACTCTCCCTGGTAGAAGCGCTGCCTCCCTGCTGTGGAAGGTCCCTCTGCTGTGGAAGGTCCCTCTGCTGTGCCACAAGCTCCCTGCTGCCCGTTGCGCTTGGCTCCCGGTTGGTGCTGCTGCTGCCTATGCTGCCACAGGGGGGAAAGGTTGAGGACGGGGGGAACAGGATGCATGCAACAAGAACTGGAGAACACAAGACCCATGGAATGTGCAGGAACAACAAAACGGAGGGATAATATAGAGAACGCTGGAAGATAAAAACATGAGAGAAAGAGGAGGCAATGGTAGCAGGCAAGGAGGACGAGACGCGCGCGTGAGTGTGAGTGCATTCTATTCTAGCCCCCTAGGACTCTAGTGTGAGCTCAAGCCGCCCCAGTGCCATGTGCTACCATCTCCACGCGAACGTTTTTATTACCTTCAAGCGAAGGCGGCGTTTCGGTTAGAAGGTAATCGTGAGCTGGGCAATAGTGAACACGAATTACAAGGTAAAGCGGCGGTAAGGATGGCAAGGGTTGAGGAGGGAACTTAGCGGGATTCAGAAGCTGCTCGTCGCTTTGCTTATGTCAGCAGAAGCCCTCCCAGCAGCAGCACTCCCAGCAGCAGCGCTCCCAGCCAGCAGTAGTCCAGCAGCCGTCCCTGCCAGCAGTCCTCCCAGCAGCCCTCCAAGCCAGCAGGTCGGCAGCAGTGGTCAGCAGGGCCAGCCCAGGCCGTGCGTCATCCCACCGCTCGCCTCTCCTGCTCGCCACGCTGCTCCCACTGCTCCTCCCTGATCCCTGCCGCTGCCGCCCAGTAGATGCGCTGGTAGAGGGACGCAGGCAGGAAGAGAGGAGAAGAGGGATTCAGGTTAACGGAGCAGAGAGTTGAGGTGACAAGACAAGGGACAAGCAGGAAGTACGCAAGTGGCAGAAGGGAAAAACGGCAAGCAAGCATGCAGGCGAGCAGAGCGGAACGACAAGTGAGTGGTTGGGAGGGGGGTGGGAGGGGGAAGGCGCATGGAGTTGGTGGACCAGGGGCACCATAGCAGCGAGCTGGGGCAGCGAGGGGGGACTGGGGAAGAGAGGGACGCATGCATGGCATTAATGCACTGCTATCCTAAGCCACACCCACTAGACTCTCTGGACTGGACTCTATATAAGCTCAGATGCCATGATGCGCCCTGATCCACCGCCGCCATGCGCCTCACAGGAACAGGTGTGTGACGGGAAACGCGGAATACAGTGGTGCAACGCAATACAGTGGTGCAACGCAATACAGTGGTGCAACGACGAGAGGGCGTGGGGAGAAGGGGGGGGGGGTGAAGATCAGAGCACGGAACTTAGCTGCTCGTTGCTCGTCGCTCCACGCTCGCTGCGTTGCCATGCGTGTATGTACTGCGTTGCCATGCGGTATGTACTGCGTTTCCGCTCGTCAAATTGCGCTTCCGCTCGTCGGATTCCGTTCGTTGAATTTCCGCTTGTCGAATTTCGCGCTCCGACAACACTCATTACGCTCGTTGCTCGTCGCTCCGATTTCGCCGCGTCTGCTCGCCGCGCCATGCGTGCGCCATGTTCTGCGTTTCCGCTCGCCGATTTCGCTTGACGCGTTCCTGCGCTCCAATTCCGCTCGTCGAATCCCCGCGCTCCAATTACGCTCGTTGCGTTTCCGCTCTCCGATTCCGCTCGTCGAATTTCCGCTCCTCATCAGCCGTCAACCGTCAACCACAGCGTTGCTCGCCTCGACGCCGATCAGCTCCGTTTCGCTTTGTATTCCTCGTCGTTTCCTCGCGCTTTCCCCCGCTCTCTGCTCCCCGCTTCTGCTTCCGCTCGCCGCGCGATGGCCGTTTGTCGCTCTGCGTTTAAACGTTCAGCTGTCCGTTGGACGCTTGCCGTTCAATGTTCGCGTATCGTCGCTCGGCGTTCAGCAGTCGCCTTAACCGCTCGGCGTACACTCGCCGTTCGTCCCTCTGCTGTGAAAGTTCCCTCTGCTGTGGACGGTCCCTCTGCTGTGCCACAGGCTCTCTGGAAGGCGGGAAAACCGAGCTCCCTGCTGCCCACTGCGCTTGGCTCCCGGTTGCTGCTGCTGCTGCCTCTGATGCCACATGCGGGGGAGGTTGGAGGGACGTGGGGAAAGGGAGGAATGCAACAAGAACTGGAGCAAGCAAGACGCATGGTAAGCTCCAGGAGTGCATGAAAACGAATGAGTCAAAACCAAAACGGCATGGGAGGGGTTGGGAGGAGCGTGGGAGGCGAAGGGAGTGTGGCGAATGGCAGCCCGTGGCAGTTTGGCAGCGAGCGAGCTTGCAGGGGGGACTGAGGAGGAGGAGGACGCAGGCATGAGGATGAATGCGTTCTATTCTAACCCCCTACGACTCTACCTACATGCGCTCAGCTGCCTTGTGCCACGGCCCACCATCGCCACACGCCCTCACACTCCCGCACACCCTCCTCAAAGATTTCGCATCAACCAAAGTGCGTCAAAGAAATGACCAGGAAATGGGAATAGGTGCACTTAGCTGGTCACTTGCTGGTCGCTCGGTGGCTATGGCGGACAGACGGCTCGTTGTTCGCTCCCGGTTGCCGCTGCTGCTGCCTCTGCTGCCACAGGGGGGGAAGTTTGAGGGACAGGGGGAACAGGATGCATGCAACAAGAACTGGAGCTAGAGAGTTGCATGGGAAGGTGCAGGAGTGCATGAAACGAATGAGTCAAAACCAAAACGACATGGCGGGGTTGGGAGGAGCGTGGGAGGCGAAGGGAGTGTGGCGATGGCAGGCCATGGCAGTTTGGCAGCGAGCGAGCTTGCAGGGGGGGACTGAGGAGGAGGAGGACGCGGGCATGAGGATGAATGCATTCTATTCTAACCCCCTACAACTCTACCTACATGCGCTCCGCTGCCTTGTGCCATGGCCCACCATCGCCACACGCCCTCACACTCCCGCACACACTCCTAACACACTCCTCAAAGATTGCACATCAACAAAGTGCGTCAAAGAAAGACCAGGAAATGGGAATAGGTGCACTTAGCTGGTCGCTTGCTGGTCGCTTGCTGGTCGCTCGGTGGCTATGGCGGACGGCCTCTCAGCACCCTCTGCTGCATCATAAGTCACCTGCAAGGGGGCCGAGCGAAGGGAACGGGGTAGGGGGGAGGGAATGGGGCAGAGCGGAGGGAAGGGGGCAGAGCGGAGGGAAGGGGGCAGAGCGGAGGGAAGGGGGCAGAGCGGAGGGAAGGGGGCAGAGCGGAGGGGAGGCCAAGGAACATGGCGAGTGAGTGCAGGCCAAGGAACAGGCATGGGTGAACTAGAGATGAGCGCAAAGGGGCGTTCACAGACATGATTACCATAAATGAGAGCAGCAGGAGAGTAAAAAACAAGGGATGTTACCTAAAGACATGAGCGCAAGGAGGCACTGACAGAAGGAGAGTGAGTGCAGGCCAAGGAACAGGCACGGGCAAACTAAAGACATTAGTGCAAAGCGGCATTCACAGAGTTTGTAACAGAAAGCGAGAGCAGCAGGAGAGAGCAAAGACAAGGGGGCTTACCTTGATAGGCCGTGGCCAGCCCCATACTCTCTCCTGTGACTGCGACTGCTATCTGCTGCAGCGCTGCCCCCCTGCAGTGGCAGTTCCCCCTGCTGCGTCGCAAGCTCTCTGGAAGGGGAGGAGGGCAGCAGGGGAGTGAGGGAGTAAGGGCAGCAGGGGGAGGAGGGCAGCAGGGGGAGCAGGGGCCTTGAGACATGGGAGGTCGGATCCGAGGCTTGAGTGCAGGGTGGCAGTACAGGCATAAGCGCAAAAGGGCGATAATAGAATTGATTATCCAAAGAAAGAGCAGCAGGAAAGAGCAACGACAAGGCAGAGGTCTTACCTCGAGAGGCCACGACCAGCCCCGGTGCCACACGTGCTTGCTTGGTTGTTTGGTGTGCCTTGCTTGACTGCCACTGCTCCTTGACACCAGAGGCCACTTGAAACCAGAGGCCGAGTGATTTGCAAAGGAGAGGGGCGGAGGGTACGAACGTGGGAGGGGGATGGAGGGACGGGGGGACAGGAGGCATACAGCAAAAACTGGAGCTAGAGAGAAGGATGGGAAGTGGGAAGGGGGGGTAGAGGGACGAGGGGAAAGGAGGCATATAGCAAAAACTGGAACTACAGAAAGAAGGATGGGAAGTGGGAGGGGTTGAGCAGAACTGGAAGCAAATCTCCCCCTCCAGCACGGAATGGGAGGGTGGAGAGCGGCGTTTGCGACCATACTCTCCCTGGTAAAAGCGCTGCATCCCTGCAGTGAAAGTTTCCTCTGCTGTGGAAGGTCCCTCTGCTGTGCCACAAGCTCTCTGGAAGGCGGGCAAAGCGAGCTCCCTGCTGCCCACTGCGCTTGGCTCCCGTTGCTGCTGCTGCTGCCTCTGATGCCACAGGGGGGGGAGGTTGAGGGACGGGGAGAATAGGATGCATGCAACAAGAACTGGAGCAAGCAAGACGCAAGGAAAGTGCGGGAGAAACAAAACGGAGGGATTATAAAGTGAACGCTGGAAGATAAAAGCATCAGTGAAAGAGGAGGCGATGGTAGCCCATGGCACTAGGTTGGCGAGCTAGCAGGCAAGGGGGACGAGACGCGGGCATGAGTGTGAGTGCAATCTATTTTAGCCCCCTAGGACTCTAGTGTGAGCTCAAGCCGCCCCAGTGCCATGTGCTACCATCGCCACGCGAACGTTTTTAATACCTTCATGCGAAGGCGGCGTTTTGGTTCGAAGCATGCTTGAAAAGAGAGGCTGGGCAATTGTGAACACGGATTACGAGGTAAAGCGGCGGTAAGGATGGCAAGGGTTGAGGAGGGAACTTAGCGGGTTCAAAAGCTGCTCGTCGCTTTGCGTATGTCAGCAGCAGCACTCCCAGCAGCAGCACTCCCAGCAGCAGCACTCCCAGCAGCAGCACTCCCAGCAGCAGCACTCCCAGCAGCAGCACTCCCAGCAGCAGCACTCCCAGCAGCAGCACTCCCAGCAGCAGCACTCCCAGCAGCAGCACTCCCAGCAGCAGCACTCCCAGCAGCAGCACTCCCAGCAGCAGCACTCCCAGCAGCAGCACTCCTGGCAGCACTCCTGGCAGCCCTCGTGGCAGCCCTCCCAGCCAGCAGTAGTCCAGCAGGTCGGCAGCAGTGGTCAGCAGGGCCAGCCCAGGCCGTGCGTCATCCCACCGCTCGCCTCTCCTGCTCGCCACGCTGCTCCCACTGCTCCTCCCTGATCCCTGCCGCTGCCGCCCAGTAGATGCGCTGGTAGAGGGACGCAGGCAGGAAGAGAGGAGAAGAGGGATTCAGGTTAACGGAGCAGAGAGTTGAGGTGACAAGACAAGGGACAAGCAGGAAGTACGCAAGTGGCAGAAGGGAAAAACGGCAAGCAAGCATGCAGGCGAGCAGAGCGGAACGACAAGTGAGTGGTTGGGAGGGGGGTGGGAGGGGGAAGGCGCATGGAGTTGGTGGATCAGGGGCACCATAGCCGCGAGCTGAGGCAGCGAGGGGTGACTGGGAAAGAGAGGGACGCGCGCATGGCATGAATGCACTGCTATCCTAAGCCACACCCACTAGACTCTCTGGACTGGACTCTAAATAAGCTCAGATGCCATGATGCGCCCTGATCCACCGCCGCCATGCGCCTCACAGGAACAGGTGTGTGACGAGAAACGCGGGATGCAGCGACGCAATACAGTGGTGCAACGACAAGAGGGCGAGGGGGGAAGGGGGAGTGCAAGAGCAGAGGAGGGAACTTAGCTGCTCGTTGCTCGTCGGTCCGCGCTCGCCGCGTTCTGCTCGCATCGTCGCCATGCGTGCGCCATGTACTGCGTTTCCGCTCGTCAAATTTTCGCGCTCCGACTACACTCATTACGCCGCGTTGCTCGCCTCGACGCCGATCCGCTCCAAATTTTCGTTCCTCGTCGCTCCGATTTCGCCGCGTCTGCTCGCCGCGCCATGCGTGCGCCGCGCCATGCGTGCGCCATGTACTGCGTTTCCGCTCGCCGATTTCGCTTGACGCTTTCCCGCGCTCCAATTCCGCTCGTCGAATCCCCGCGCTCCGATCACGCTCGTTGCGTTTCCGCTCTCCGATTCCGCTCGTCGAATTTCCGCTCGTCGAATTCCGCTCGTCGAATTTCCGCTCCTCATCAGCCGTCAGCCATCAACCGCAGCGATGCTCGCCTCAACGCCGATTCGCTCCGTTTCAATTTGTCTTCCTCGTCGTTTCCTCGCGCTTTCCCCCGCTCTCTGCTCCCCGCTTCCGCTTCCGCTCGCCGCTTTCTGTCCGCGCAATGGCCGTTTGTCGCTCGGCGTTTAACAGTCGTCTTCGCTCTGCGTTTAAACGTTCAGCTGTCTGTTGGACGCTTGCCGTTCAACGTTCGCGTATCGTCGTTCGGCGTTCAGCAGTCGCGTATCGTCGTTCGGCGAACACTCGCCAATCGTCCCTCTGCAGTGAAAGTTCCCTCTGCTGTGGAAGGTCCCTCTGCTGTGCCACAAGCTCTCCAGAAGGCGGGCAAAGCGAGCTCCTTGCTGCCCGTTGCGCTTGGCTCCCGGTTGCTGCTGCTGCTGCCTATGCTGCCACAGGGGGGGAAGGTTGGAGGGACGTGGGGAAAGGGAGGAATGCAACAAGAACTGGAGCAAGCAAGCGAGTCAAAAGCAGAACCGCATGGGAGGGGTTGGGAGGAGCGTGGGAGGCGAAGGGAGTGTGGCGAATGGCAGGCCGTGGCAGTTTGGCAGCGAGCGAGCTTGCAGGGGGGGACTGAGGAGGAGGAGGACGCGGGCATGAGCATGAATGAATTCTATCTTAACCCCCTACAACTCTAATCTACATGCGCTCAGCTGCCTTGTGCCACGGCCCACCATCGCCACACTCCTTAAAGATTTCGCATAAACAAAAGCGCGTCAAAGAAATACCAGGAAAAGGGAATAGTTGCACTTAGCTGAAAGTAGCTGCGCGCCGACGCTGTCGTCCGTCGCTCGTCCATCTGAAGTATCTGCGCGCCGACGCTCTCGTCCGTCGCTCGTCACCGAGGTGCGTCGCTTGCCGTTCGTCGTCCGCAGCTCGTCGTGCGTCGTTCCTCGCTGGTCGCTCGGTCGCTATGGCGGACGGACGGACGACTCGTTGGTGTCGCCCGTCATCGTCGTTCGTCTGTCGTCATTCGCCGACCGTTTTCCGTCGCTCGCCATCCGTGACTCATTG